TTTTTTTTTTTTTTTTTTTTTTTTTTTTTTTTTTTTTTTTTTTTTTTTTTAATGAGTTGTCCAGCCTTATTATTATTAACCTCACAATTTTTAAAACGTATCGGCTAAGAAGAGGTTTTCACGTTTTAATTTGAGTTTCATGAGATTTTAATTATGAATCTAAAGATAAATATAAAGTAATAATCACCGGTCACAAGTTGTCTGCGTCACGGAGAAATAGAGATGGGAGTGAAATGGGATGGGACCAACTGTGGCAGTGGAAACCATGGTTACCTTGTAACTCATTTGAACTCATTACTCCGGCTTCTAAGAGTCTTTCATTAAGATGTCTCTATTTCGTATTCTAAGATAATCGTATCAAAATCACGACGCCACATGGCTGATAAGGTAGACGTGCAGTTGCAAGGAGTGATAACCTGTGATTCGAAGCATTGGATAGTTACAAGCCATCTTTATGTAGCCCAAAGGCAACGGGACCTGCATTAACACTAGTGCCTAGGATTAACATGAACATCAAGCAGAGGAACTGCACTCTAAACTACAATTGAATAAACCTAATATGAAACTGATAGCATTCCTATCAGAAACAAGGCAGCAGTGCAGCATGGACTTTATATGCTTTAACTCATAATGATTTTCCGAACCCGACTCGACTGAGTTTGTACGATAACTTATTGCTTAACTCAGGATGATATCATTTGTTAGAAAACTTCATGTCACTCTCATGTATCACTGCACACAGAGTGTAGCTTTGCAAGTCATTAGAACTCATGAGGGATGGAATTAAATTTTGTTCATAATCATGAAATATAGCAGCAAACTCATGGCTAGTTGATGGAGAAAAACTCATTTTGAAATAAAGATGTGATACAAACTCCATAGTAATCACTGAAGGACACACGGTAAGAATCATAGATAAGCCAACCAATTTGAGATCTGATGGCACAAACAGCTTTGAAAACTGCTAAACAAATGTGATTAAGAAGTTTATTACAAGTGATTTTCATATAACCTTTTGAATGGCTTTACACTTCTTAGACGATTTCGTCCAAGCTCTTTAAATCTTTCCCTAAGTTCATGTCAATTCAATGCTCTACATACGTGAGTTCCCACGTCGGTTGGAGAGGAGAATGAAGCATTCTTTATAAGGGTCTGGAAACCTCTCACTTGCAGACCCGTTTTAAAAACTTTTGAGGAGAAGTTCGAAAAGGAAGCCCAAAGACGACAATATTTGCTAGTGATGGGCTTGAGCTGTTACAGATGGTATCAAAATCAGACACAAAGCGATGTGCCAACGAGGAGGCTAAACACCGAAGGGGGTGGACATGAGGTGGTTTGCCAACAAAGACGTTGGGTCCCTAAGGGGGGATTGAGGGTCTCACATAGATTGGAGAAGGGAATGAGTGCTAGTGAGGATGCTGGGCCCTGAAAGGAGGTGGATTGTGAGATCCCACATCGGTTGGCGAGGAGAACGAAACATTTTTTATAAGAGTGTGGAACCTCTCCCTAACGTTTAAAAACTTTGAAAGGAAGCCCGAAAGGGTGTTTTTGTGGCATAAGGTACAGAAACCAATATGATCCAGTCCCTGTCCATAAAGAAGGAAAAACAAATAAAGATCCCACTATTCTACAACATGAAACAAAATGAATGGTTATTGCACTCTTTTCGGCTCTTTGTAAACAGGCAGCAACAAGACATTCTAGAGTGTATAAACCTTATTAAGAGCATTTTCTTGACCCAAATGCATAAAAGCAAGGCTTGAATTGCAACTTTTATGTAGAAAAGCTCATAAACATATTACTGTACCTGAGACTGAAGATCAATCCCATTACCCTTGTGTTCAACATGAGGCAGTTGAACAGATCCATCCTTGATTTTGACAGAATCGGGTCCGAAACCCTTCTAAATTCTTCGTGCTTTGGACCCACCGAGATGAGATCAGGCACTTTTCTGAGACCATTGAATAGCGAGGCCCTCGACAATACCATCGGTGGGTCCGGTCAGAAGCGGCCACGAGCCGTATTTCATCAGGTCCATTGGGGGTCGGAGAAAATTAACACAAACCCATTTCAGAACAATCAAAGAGAAGTTTAGAATCGAGACAAGGGTTGCGAAAATCAACGACCTAACTTTGTGGGGACGTACCTAAGTGACCCACTTTGTGGGGATGTTTCAAATGAATTGCCGAAATTGACTTGATTGGTAGGGGAAGAAATGCAGTGAACCCAACAATCAATGTAACCCGCCACGTCCTTGGCTCCATCATAGCCCCTTCTTCGTCGTCCGATTCATCTCTGAGTCTGACTTCGACAAAGAAATTGTTTATGGGGTAAGTCCCTCTACTCTCCCAAATTTGTGTTCATCCTTTGATTGTGTGTTTCTAGATAAGTCTTTGAATTTCTCTCATTTCC